TAGTATTTTTGCCAAAAAAACCTTAAATGAGGTCACAAGGACACCACTCAAAAATGACTGAACAGCAGGGTTCTTCTCAGCTCAAAAATCTATGATTCTGTAATCTTCTTGCCAGGGCTGGGGGCAGAGTTTAGTAACTGAACTCTGCTGGGACCTGGCTGCCCCCCATACCTGGCAGGACCAGGGCACATCTTTCATTAAAACTACCGTTCCTGTTCCTCCCAAACTTGGCTTTCACCTTTCAAAGGGTTCTCCTCACAAAAGTCCTCCAAGTCCAAGAATTATCATCCCTATTTTATAGATAAGGAAACTGAGGTTCAGAGACATGAAATGATTTGCCCGCAGTCATACAGCCAGGCTCTGTGGTACAGAGCAAAGAACCGTGAAGGAGGGAATCACAAGTCCTGAGTTTGAATCTCCTATCTGCCAGTTAAACGCCTTCTGTCACCAGCTTTGGGTAAATCTACTCGACTTCGCTAGACCTCCAAATGAAGAGGTTAGACTGGGCTGTCTCCCAGGGCTGCCAGCTCTGGATCCATGGTGAGCTTCTGAGGCTCTGGCTTTCCACCAGAGTGGTAATGGGGTATTATTGGGGCTATCACAAGATCTGTGGCAGGGTTCCAGCTCTGCTGTTTATGTGACCTTGGCCAGGTTACTTGGTTTTCTCAAGACCTCAGTTTCCTCACCTGTAAAATGGTGAGTAAATCACCAAAAAGATTTCTACCCCCAAATGGGCCAGATCTATTTCATAGGGTTGTTGGTTAGGACTTTGATGTGTAAATCTGTTCTTTGGTGTTTGGTCACTTTTCAGTCACGACTTTTCATGACCCCAATTGGGGTTTTCTTGGCAAAGATGCTGAAGTGGTTTGCCATTTCTTTCTCTGTCTCATTTTACAGATGAGGAAACTGAGGCAAACAGGGTTAAGTGACTTGCCCAGGATCACACAGCTAGTAAGCGTCTGTAATGCTGGAGCGGTTTGCCATTTCTTTCTCCGTCTCATTTTACAGATGAGGAAACTGAGGCAAACGGGGTGAAGTGACTTGCCCAGGATCACACAGCTAGTAAGCGTCTGTCATGCTGGAGTGGTTTGCCATTTCTTTCTCCGTCTCATTTTACAGATGAGGAAACTGAGGCAAACGGGGTGAAGTGACTTGCCCAGGATCACACAGCTAGTAAGTATCTGTAATGCCTCTTACCAAGCTGGGGAGAATGCACTCAGAGGGATGCTAGCTTCTCTGGATATCTCTGTGGTTTCTGGTCAGGGCAGCTGGGTGAGGCAGTGAATAGAGTACTGGGCCTAGAGTCAGGCCCCAAATGAGGTCACTTTTTTTTTGTTTTGTTTTGTTTCGTTGGTTGGGAAGTGGGGTTAAGTGACTTGCCCAAGGTCACACAGCTAGTAAGTGTTATGTGTCTGAGGCCGGATTTGAACTCAGGTCCTCCTGAATCCAGGGTGGGTGCTCTATCCACTGCGCCACCTAGCTGCCCCAAATGAGATCACTTTTATACTTCAGATGAATTTTAGAAAGCAGAGGTAGCATTTGTGGTCTTAGTCAAGTTAATAATAAAAATAGACATGGTTAAAAGACAGGAGGATGATGCTGAAAGGCATCCTAGATAATGAAATAACATCAATACTTTGTGTGTGTGTGTATATATATGTATGTTTATGTATATGCACCAAATGGATTGGTATCTAATAATGTTGTTGTTCAGTCATTTCTGTTGTGTCTGACTCTTCTTGACCCCATTTGGGGTTTTCTTGGCAAAGATCCTGGAGTGGTTTGCCATTCCCTTCTCCAGCCCATTTTACAGATGAGGAAACTGAGGCAAACAGGGTGAAGTGACTTGCCCAGGTTCACACAGCTAGTAAGTATCTGAGACCAGAATTTGAACTCAGGTCTTCCTGACTCCAAGCCAGGTGCTCTAGCCTAGCAGCCCATGAAAAGATGGAAAGATGAAAAGAACCTTAGAGGCTAACAAATCCCATATCCCACCCTCATTTTGCAGATGAGGAAACTAAGGCAAAGAAAAGTAAAATGACTTGCCCAAGATCATAAAACCTAGGAAGTGTTTGAAGCAGGATTTGAACCCAGGACTCAACATCCAGTATCCTAGATGTGGATCAGTACGGGGGCTCCAGTCCCGGCTTCATGGTTCAGATCCATTCCCTGGATGGGTGGAGAAGGGGCCAGGGATCATAGAGGTAAGGTATTCCATCTCTGAAAATTGATCCCCTACTCATTGTCTTCCAGCGTCCAGTTCAAAGTCACCTCCTCCAGGAAGTATTCCCTGATTCCGAAGTTGGAAAGGCTTGTTATTTTTTCCCTGCTTTTCTCTCAAAGCACTTTTGTACTTTGGGGAGGGTGGCTGATCATCCATGCCATCATGCCCTGTAGGCCTGAATTTGTCGAGAGCCCAGGCTGGCCGTCGCATCCCCAAGTTCTGTGGGTTGTCCTGTTTGCCTTAGGCTTTCACATCTGAGTCCCCAGCTCTGACCAAGATCTCCTCACACTCCGTTCTCTTCAGGAGTGGGGAACCTGTGGCCTTGAGGCCACATGTAGTCCTCTAGGTCCTCTAGTGCGGCCTTTTGACAGAATCCAAGACCGTCAAAGGTCTGCATTTGAGGACCCAAAGGGACACATGTGGCCTTAAGACCGAAGTTCCCCACTGCTATTAGATACTTCTCCTTTATGTGACAATTATCCGAGACCTTCCCCTGCCACCCTCTTAGCTTCCCTGGAACCTCCAAGGCTGGAGGCTCCCTGTTCCCAGGGAACACAAGTTCTGCTGGGTTCTCCCCAGTGAAAAAAATGTTAGGAATGGATGGACCCATTGACACAGGTGAGGTAGAGTGGAAACGGCACCGAATGGGAAGTCAAGGAACCGAGATTCAAATCCCAGCCTTGCTGTTCCCTGTATTATCCTGGGCAAGTCTCAGCCTTTCTAAGCATCAGGTTCTTCTGTAAAAGACAAAGAAGAGTTTGGGGTGGATGACTACTAAGACCCCTCCCAGCCCTAAATCTAGGATGCCTGTGACTATATTTCTGTCACGTGTGTGTGTGTATTTGGCTATGGAAATTTATGAAGATTATGTGGAAAGAGGTATGTAGGGTCAGTGGAAGGAGTCCCACACTAAGGAAATCAGGCTGCTAAAGCACTGAAATTGGAGTCAGGAGGAGTTGAGTTCAAATCCTACCTCATATACTTAGTAGCTGTGTGACCCTGGGTAAGTCATTTACCCTCTCAAAGCCTCACTTTCCTCATTCGTAAAATGAGGATAATAGTAGCACCTACTTCTCAGGGCTGTTGTGAGAAATGGAGAAGATAACTTATGAAAAGTGCTTTGCAAACCTTAAAGCACTATTATAGCACAAGGTGTCCCAAAAGAAATGCACTAAGACTTTTGGGACACCCTGAATAATTGCAGTTTTATTATCAAAGATCCTTGAAGTTTTATTTGGGTTAGTAGCATAACTTCCATACTCTGATGTGTTTTTATAGGGTGAGGATCATATCTTATTTATTTCTAAGCTTCCTGAATGTGATCTTTTATCACACAAGAGAGTTCAGCCTAACTATTCGTTTAGGAAAAACAAAGTGGATGAAGAATACCTATTGCCAATAATTTGACTATGAAAGGCAGCCTGGAGTAGAGAATAGAGAATCTATCTCTTCTTCATTCAAGTCTTGCCTTTTGACACATACAGGCTATATGACCCTAGACAGGTCACAACCTCTGAGTGCCTCCCTGACTACCCCTTGTCCCCCAGGTCAACTCTAAAATTATAACTGTAAAGCCAATGTTGATTTGCACTGATAGGGAAGTTTCTCAACAGAAGCTTCTGCAACTGATAAAAGCAAAGTTCCCGTTTAAAAAAAAATAACTCGGCTCATCCGTGCTCGTATCTTGGAAAAACATTACAGATGAGCTGCAATGGCCGGGATCGCCGTGCTTTATCTCCTACTGAGATCAGGCCGCCAGGTTCATACTCACACTCCTGGCCATCCATGAGTCTTTGGAGCCCACCTGGACACACCAAAGGACGAGTCGATCAGGAGGTGTTTAACCGTTTATTACAGAAAAGACATAAGGATGAGAGAGAGAAATCAGCAGACAGAGAAGCAAAGCAAGAGCCAGAGAGAGGGAGCAGGGAGAGTGCTGCCCCCCGCGAGGATTGACCCCGACCACCAATCCGCCCCACCCCTTCAGCGGAGGAGAACAAACATGTACTGCTGCAGCTCTAGACAGAGACGTGGCATGAGCGCATAGGCTCAGCCACCTCAATAGACATCATAAGAGGCGTGTTAACATGCCTCTATCTGATGGAGACGTGGCAGAAGCATAGGCTTCGCCGCCTCTAGAGTGACGTCACGCACAGCCCGTGCGCCTCTACTCCGCTTCCAGGACAGTTTCCCTATCAGTGGACAAAGCCGAGACCCACCGGGAACAGCCGGCCCCTAACAACTCCCCCTTTTTGTTTAAGATCGTCGGGCCCTTGGCCATAGCACCAAAAGCTCTGATTTGACCTGCTCAATAGCAGACCTAATTAAATGCACAAAGCAAACAAGGAGGGAAGGTAGAAGAAAAAAGAGCAAGACAATAGCAAACTCAAGAGCGATAATGTGGCCCAACCACCCCGCCACTGGAGAGGACACATGTCTCATCCAGTCCGTAATCTTTTGAATGGCATCGTCAGAGCTGTCATGCATTTGTGTCGTGGCATTCTTAGACAGTTCTACCAATCGTCTCAACGCCTGTATCTCCAAAGTCATACTAGTGGATTGAATGGCACTCAGAGTTGCCTGTTGTTCGCACCATCAGGTTATCCAAGTGTCATTGCTGGTGGTGTCATTACAGCATGCCTTCTTGTGCATTAAGTACTAAACCTATTTTTTTCTCAGTCATATACAAATTATGCAGTTTAGATTTCAGATTGTAGCATAATAGATGAAACAGCAGTAGATACAATAAAAGAAGCAACAATGATTAAACCAATAATAAGGAGACAAATAAATTGTTTTGATTGACTTAAGGAGGAAATGATAATTTAGGAACACGTTTACCAGAGTTCTGGAACTATTCATGTGTAATATTAGTAGGGAAAATAACAAATGACAATTGTTTTACCAAAAGTACAACATAGTCATTATGATCAATACATTGTTTGAGAGTACAATTGATACAAGCATCATTTCAATCCAAAAAACAGAATTAGATTGAATAAAATTTACATATCCAATAGATAAACTGGTATTAACAAATGATGTAACAAGGAACAGACATGATTCAATATTGTTGCTAAATTTTGAAAAACATATAGGTGTACTGGATGCTAGAGATCTGAGGGTAATTGTAACATTGACTTTTGTCCTGGAGATAGCGATCTTCTCGTCTTCCGAATATACAGGTATTATTAGTATATGTGTAGTCCCAATTTGTCTATATATGTGAGGGGTTGCATCCAGGGTGGAAAAGGAAAATTAAGTCCAGTGCTGAGCAGTCTGTACATTACACACTTGAGCAGAAAGTAAAGCTACTAATGTTAAAAATACAAGTTCAGGAGTCTTCCATCGCTCGATGAGAGGGAGCTTTCACTGGACCCCATGTGGGAAGGCGACTGTCACTGTAGATTGGCTCCTTCTGCGCTTTCCCAGAATCCTCATACTTTGCATTCGAGCTGTGAGTTGTTATACATGCTCTGACATCTTTCTCTGGTATCCGGACAGGTTTATCAAAGTTTTCTGAAAAATTATAAGCACACCCTCATCCCCTTGTTAGTAATGGATCCAGTAATGGATCTGGGCCTCTGGATGTTTTTAGGCTGGAGTGTACTCATCTTTGTTAATATTTTGAAAATTAATAGCCAATTATCAAAAATTAATAACCAATTATCAATGAGGGGTAATAGCCCAGATTCCCCCTTTTATGTTTAAAAAGAATAATTTTAATATCTTCGTTTTTAATAATATAAAATGTTTGTGATCAGAGAAATGTTATAAAAAGCATAAAAGAAGAAAATGTTTTGCTAATGGAAGCTCCTCAGGAGCATTATCTGTTTTGATTCATTTAAGTACACTCATAACTGTGAAGGCTTGTAAAATATGATTGATCACATATTTAATTGTACCACTTGTTTGTAAAGTGGCAAAAATGAAAGAAAAAAGTATCCATTATAACATGAATATAAGAAAGCTTTTCAAAAGAAGGCATATAGGTTACATCCAATTGTCAAATATGTTTGGGAGAAAAGCCTCTTGATACATTTGAAACAGGCTGTTAATTAAAAAATAATCATTATTCTTTATACTATGTTTCTAATACTGTAGGAGTTTATTCAAAAATAGTCACAAAATGTTTTCTTCTCTACAGTTAAGGTTGTTGTATTGGGAGAATATAGTTAATAAAAGGCTCAATAAAAGCTTAATAAAAGTTAAGTGGCAGCATTGTAGTTAAGAATCAATAATGGCATTGCTTTCAGTATATAATTGTGTATTAGTAATATATTTTAACTTTGCAGTCTATATATTTGAGAGACATAAACAGATTACTTGTTATCAGAAACAACATTAATAGGCTAATAATATCCTGCCATACCTGTACTTAACCATTGATGAGTGTCATGGGTGGTGAAGGAATGGGGTTAAATCTAACAATCTTTTTGAAATACCTATGAATAATTAGTAAAAAATGTTAATATCTTAAGAAATGGTAAGTAATTATCCATATCAATATGACCAGAAAAAATAGTAATAGCAATTTGCCAATCCTTAAGAGGAAACAAGAGTGTATTTGCTTTTATTATAAGGTTGATTAATAACAGAAAGTAAATTTCCTATAAATTAAAAATTGTAGGGGACACTGGAGTACTAAGAATAGCACCTGGTATTAAAAAAAAATATGGGTGAGTTGAGCTTCAGGAATTTTACTGTTAGACTAAATAAAGCTCCTTCTTTGCCTCAGGAGTTAATGTCCTAGGGGAATTTAGATTAGGATCTTCTCCAAATGTGAAAAAGAAATTAGCCAGTTGTGCTATAGTAATTTGGAATGATGGTCAAAACTAATTAGTATCCTCTAAAAGTTTTTGAAAATTCCTTAAGTGCTTCACTGTTGTTTTGGTGGCAATATGACCTAGGTAGGAAAATGGAAATTTTTCTTAAACTTTTTCTGGGACTATAATAAGCCCATATTCTTGTAAAGCTAATTGAGGCTGAGGAAATAAATGTGTGAGTTTTCAGTGGAACAGCTACAAAGTATGTCACTACATAGTATATATTTTTGCATTAAGAATTTTTTTGTAATTGGTTGTATAGCTTTATTAATAAAATTTTGACACATTGTAGGGCAGTTTTTCATGCCTTGAGGAAGGACTTTCTATTGAAACCTGGTTGCAGGGTGTTCTGCATTAACACTGGGTAAAGCAAAATATTTGTCAGCTTCTTACAGTGGAATAGTAAAAAAAAAAAAGCAGTCTTTTAAATCAATAACTATCAAAGGCTAGGAAACAGAATTCATAATGGGTGAAGGGAGACTTCATTAATAGCTCAGAGGTCATGAAGCATCCTCTATTTCGCTGACTTCATTTTAGTAACAAAAACAGGTGAATTCCAAGGATTTGTAAAAATTTCTATATGTCCTTTTAAAAGTCTTGTTTGACTGTAAAAAGCCTCCTTTTTGTCAATAGCCACTGTTCCACCCAAACAAAATAACAGCTCCCCTAGATGTAAAATATCGTGCCCCCCACAAATTAAAGGGAATTAATTGAGTAAATACATCTTAAAATAATTGATTAGTGGTGATCTACTAGGCAGGCTAAAGCTAATTAATATCTTTAAGAGTTTTTAAAGAATCTTTTCCTATTTTATAATATTTTGGGGGTCTAATTATGGGCTGTGAAACAATATGTCCAAAGTAAGCAAAGGGTGATTTCTTTTGTGCCTTATCAGGAGTAATTATAAATCTTTGAGACTGAAGAGCTTGTTAAAGCTCACACATTAATAAGGAAAGTTTGCCAGTAATAGAACAACTGCAAAATTTATCATCCATATAATAATGGGAATATTTCTGCCTAACAAGTTTAAAAGTGGTATGAACACAATTTTTGCAAATGGTAGAAAACATTCCTTCTTAAAGGAACATAATAGGAAAACTTCAAATACTGATTTAATGGAGACAACTATACTGAAATTCAAACTCAAAACAAAATTAGTTATAGTCCTAAGAGTGTTTTACCTCAAACAGCAAGTTTCACTAATCTTGGCTTAAAGCCAGGTACAGTTAATTTTACTCCCATGGAGTTGTAATAACTAACAAAGATTTACCATGAGTCGCATACATAATAGATTTCACTTAACATCTTTCTTTCTCAATTTAAACTTGTTCTGGTAAAAAGCCAATTATTAGGAATCATTTTATATAGTTGCAGCTTCTCAGCAAGGTAAATTAATTGTTTGGGAACTCACTAACATAAACAAATTCTCTTCTCAGAGCAGATGACCTTGGAACACAGGTAGCAGGAGCTTTTGGTAAGCTTACAAAGTTAAGGGAATTGCCTTGTGCCCCTCCTTTTCACTCAGAAGTAATGAAGAATTGTAGGTTTTAACTTAAAACAGTAACTGCAAATAACTTAGTTAACACTTTGGTAATTTTCATAAGTGATAGTTAAATTGTTTTAGCTATAAGTTGTTCTTCAATCATAGGTAAAGATAGAGATGTCTGATTTTCTAAATGACAGTTATAAAACATTATGAGACAAAATTAACTGGACTTGATAAAATAATTTAGCTGGTTTTTACACAGCTTTCCCACTGTCTTTCAGTCTTTTTTAATTCACATATCAATAACATCTAAATTATTAAAAATTGTTTGACATAGCACAAAACAATACAAAAGTTTACCAATTTGTAACAATACTAGATTTTTTAAAATTTGAAACAAGCATATTACTAATTTGAATGAGCTAAATTATCTTTTGATTGTGTTTCAAATACATTAAAAAACTTTGCTTTATGAACTGAGGGGGAGCACCCTCCCTTTCACTATTCTCATTCTGTCTCTCACACCCCAACTTGGCCAGGGTTGGAATGGAGAGAAAGGAAGAGAATATTTCCCAACAACTTATCTTTGATAATCTTTCAGTTTTACATCCAAAGCTTTGGCCAGAGCTTTAGAATGCAAAAAAGAAAGAGAATTTCTTCCTAATAACTCTTCAAAAGTTTTCAAATCATTTATTCTCAAATCCTCTGTTCATGCTATTAATGCAGACAGATTATGCTATTCTTTCTACCCCTACTTCTCTCATTATTGCATGCTTAAACTTTCTTTCTTTTATCAATCATATAATGTAAATAATAAAATATTTTTTCTCTGCATCTCACCCCTATCCACCCGCTCCTGGGAGGCGGCTGGTAGTAGGGAGGGGGAAAGAGAGAAAGTCACTAGCAGCATTTCAGAATCCAGTTGCAGCCCTTGGCTGCCTGGCAGTAAAGGATCAAAACAAATGACAGACATTAATCACAGACCATCATTCACACAGACACAGACAACCATAGAACAAAATGACAGGGAGAATCCAAAAGCGAGAAACTTATCAGAAATCCCCTACACAAAGGAAATAATACTATCTTTATCATATTTTATCTCTTCTTTTCATGGTATTTCAGATGTTATGTAAACCAGGCAAAATCTTTCTTAAGGTTTTGGTTTTTATAAAAGCAAAACAATCTGGAGGGGGCTTTGAAGCTTCAGCTACTTTCTAACCTACTTCATTTATAATTTCTGTTTTGGTTATAATTTCTTGTTTGGCAACTCTTCCTCTTTTGGTGGTGGAACAAGAGGTTATTTGGTAGCCCACCACTTCCCACTTACATAAATCCAACCCGTTATATTGAATCCAGGGGCAGCACTTTAGTATGGTATCTACGAAAGCCGTAGCAGTTTTTCAATCAACCTCCCAACCGGCCTTCTTAACTACCTTCGCTAAAGTTTTCCAATCATTGGGTGTCAGGATAGTACTATTTGCCAAAGATGCAAGCATCTCCTTAACAAAAGGGGAATCAATGCCATATGACTCTGCTGCTTGTTTTAAATCCTTTAGTTTTTTCCAGTCTAATGGTGACCAATTGCGCCCTTGGTCAGTTTCAAAAACAGGGCAGGCATCCAACCATTCCTTAGCCTCCTCATCCCCTTTTTCTAAAGCCTGTTTACAAGCAGGGGTCAAAAAGGAAGTTCCCCGGGGTTCAACAGGAGGCGCAGAGGGGGCAGGGCTCAGCCAGTCTGAAGGAGGCGGGGGAAGTGCGCTTGAGTGCCCCTCCCCCTCTTCTCCTTCTTTCCCGGGCTGTACCCCCGCCCCTTCTCGTCAAGTACGGTTTCTTGGAGCCTTGGGGCCCCGTTTCTTTTGTTTGTGCCTCAGCATCCGTTGGGGGGGGCACTTGGGGTCCATGTATCTGAGTTTTCAGTACTGTATAGATCAAATGGTGTAGGGGAGGAATAACTCCCGGATTGTCTCTATCAAACGAGGCCATCTGGGAGCCGACTACAGCCCACCTTTGCAAGTCAAGCCCATTAACATATACCCATGGGCAGCAGCGAAAAACTGTGTCTACAAAGGCGAGGGCGTCCTTAGGATCTACACCCGCTGGCTTAACTAGTTTTTCTATCTCCTTTCCTAACACCTCCTGATCCGAGACTTTAACTAAAACCTGACCCATCTTCCCGTCACACAGAAGGGGCCTCGTCCCTCTTCCCCTAACCGGACCAGCCGAGTTAGGAGGACCTGGCACTACTCACCTGCCCCACGTTGGGAACCACTCCGTGCTTTATCTCCTACTGAGATCAGGCTGCCAGGTTCATACTCACACTCCTGGCCATCCACGAGTCTTCGGAGCCCACCCGGATACACCAAAGGACAAGTCGATCGGGAGGTGTTTAACCATTTATTACAGAAAAGCCATAAAGGTGAGAGAGAGAAATCAGCAGACAGAGAAGCAAAGCAAGAAGCCAGAGGGAGGGAGCAGGGAGAGTACCGCCCCCCGCGAGGATTGACCCCGACCACCAATCCGCCCCACCCCTTCAGCGGAGGAGAACAAACATGTACTGCTGCAGCTCTAGACAGAGACGTGGCATGAGCGCATAGGCTCAGCCGCCTCAATAGACATTATAAGAGGCGTGTTAACATGCCTCTATAGGATGGAGACGTCGCAGAAGCATAGGCTTCGCCACCTCTAGAGTGACGTCACGCACAGCCCGTGCACCTCTACTCCGCTTCCAGGACAGTTTCCGTATCAGTGGACAAAGCCGAGACCCACCGGGAACAGCCGGCCCCTAACAATGGGCAAAAACACAGAGCTGGCCAAGAGGAATAGAGTGGGCTGGGTGGCCTTTGGGAAATTACAAAGTCTTTTTAATGACCCCCCTCCCCAAGCTTCTCCCTAAAACAGAGGCTTACCTTTTTGTTATGAACCCTCTTCCGGTGCTGTTGTTGCAATCCTGTGATATCACAAAACACCACAGACACCCAAGAATTGAAACTGAGGATCCTTCAGACTGTTGGAGAGCCTCATGGTGGGCATGAGCAAGCTGAAACATGCTGTAAACCAGGAGTAGAGCAAGGGAAGGCCAGTAAAGGACGTCACCAGCAAAGTGTGTGACCAGGAAAGGAGGCCAGTTATGTGGTGAAAATGAGGGATGGAGGGTGGATGGCCTATGGTGCTGCATTGTTCTCTTGATGCCCAGAGAACTCCAGGGAGAGTCCCATCACAGTGGCTGGCACCCCTCGAGAGAATTGATGGGAAGATACAGACAGTTGTTGTAGGCGGGGATGCAATGATCACAGCTCCATGGAACCACTGGAGCATTTTGCTGTTTGTGCCTTCACACCTCTCCCATCCAACCCCTTCTGTCTACTCACACAGCTACTACCTTAATTCAAGCATCACCTCCTGTTTGGATTATTGCAACAACCTCTTCATTGGGACCGGCCTCAAATTTCTTCCCACTTTAGTCTGTCCTACACATTCCTGCCAAAGTAATTTGACCATGTGACTCCCCTATCAACCAACTTCATGGGCTCCTCTAGACTCAAATTTGCTTCTCTGTTTGGCATTTAATATTTATATTAAATAAAAATTAAATATTTATAGCAGCTCTTTTTGTGGTGGCAAAAAATTGGAAATTGGGGGATGCCCATCAACTGGGGAACGGCTGAACAAGCTGTGATATATGAATGCGATGGAATAATATTGTGCTGTAAGAAATGATGAGCAGAAGGATTTCAGAAAAACCTGAAAAGATTTGCACAAACTGATACAAAGTGAAATGAGCAGAACCAGGAGAACATTGTGCACAGTAACAGCAACATTGTGTGATGATCAACTATGAATGACTTAGCTCTTCTCAGCAACACAGTGATCCAAGACAATTCGAAAGGACTGTGATGGAAAACGCTATTCACATCCAGAGGAAGAACTGATGGACTCTGGATGCAGATCGAAGCATCCTATTTTCACTTTATTTTTTTCGTGGTTTTGTTCCTTTTGGTCTGTTTCTTCTTTCACAATTGAGTAATATGGAAATATATTTTACATGATTACACACATATAACCTATATAAAATTGGGAAGGAGGGAGAAAAATTTGGGACTTAAAATTTTGTAAAAATGAATGCTAAAAATTGTCTTTACATATAATTGGGGAAAAAATCATATTTAAAAAAATAAAACCCCTCATAACCTGACCGCAGTCTATCTTTTCAACCTCACTGTACATAAATACCCCTTCCCTGCTCTGCAGTCCAGCTAAGCTACCCTTCTCTCTCTCCCCTGCCTGGAATGCCCTCCCGCCTCATCTATGCCTCATTCTCTCTCTCTCTGTGCAGCTCAGGTACCACCTTATGCATGAAGCCTTCATTGGTAGAGAATTTAATGATTCTGTATGTGTGTGTAAAATATAAATGGGTATTTGTTAACTTTATATTTATGCTGTAATAAATGTTTATAGGCTTGCGAGTGAAGATTGTCTCATTCATTGTACTTGTCACATAGTAGGCACTTAATGAATGATTATTGATTGACTGATTGGGGTCTATCTCCCAGTGAGTATGCCTGAGCCCATATCCAGCAGGTATTTAATAAATGTTTGCTAAATGAATGAACTAAAGGGAGCGGGCAGAGGGGAGTCCATTGTTCACCAGGACAAGCACTCAGCCCCAGAAACAGACCTTTAACCCCCACTGTGTGCCCAGCAGGATCCACTGGCCAGGACACCCCAGGACCTCCCAGTTCATGCCTTGCCCAGACTCCTTGAGCATCAGACATTACCTTCATCTTCATTTCTTAAACAAAGAATGTGTTTATTGTCTGTGTTCCCACATCACCATTTCACATTATTTCCAGGTCCTTCTCCCAGACCCCAAGGGCTGACGGGATGCCTCTCCCAGGAAAGCCCCCCTGACCCAGGCTGACCTGACCCAGGCTGACCTGGCCCAGACCACCAAGGCCACTGTGCAGTGTTCAAGAAGGAAGGCAGCTGATCCAGTCTGAAAAAGGGGCTTTGCCTGGTAGAGTGGGGTAGGGTGGGGAAGGTGGAGGGGCCCAGGAGAGTCAGCCCTGGACTGTGATGGGGCTCAGACAGAAAGAGCTGGAGCTGCTAGCTTCCACCTTCAGAAATACAAAGTATCTTTTGTTTGGAGTCTTTCTTTTTACATTAAGTTAAAACCAGACTCTGGTCCCTTATTGTGTTAAGAGGTTTTAGGCTGAAGGGGAGGCTGGAGCTCACCTGCTCCTGTGGAAAAGGGCATGAGTGGAGGAGAAAGAAAGGAAGCTGCCACTCTTGCCCCTCCCCCCCGGAAGAACTTTATTTTTCAACATCTTTTGTAGCGGGTGAGGAAACCACCGGCCAACCTCAGAAGCAGGAAGAAGAAAGCTCACCATTGACAGGAAATGCTATGGTGGCCCTGTTTTCCTCCTCCTCCTGCCAAACCTTCATCCCCAGGGCCCAGGTTCAACCCAGAGGGGGTCAGGAAGAGATGAAGAGACAGTGAGGCCTGGTCTGGGGCAAGGGTGTAGATGGGAGGGGATGAGAAGGATTCCCACTTCACAATCCCCCAAGCCCACACACACCCCTGTTGAGAAGCCCTTGGCTCTCTGCTCAGGAGATGAGGCGCTCAAATACACAGAGCCATACAACATCAGTGCTGGAGGGGACCCCTTAGGCAGCCAGTCCTGGCCCCCTCATCTGACAGATAGAGAAGCCGAGGCCCAGAGACTTGCCCAGGGCCACAGGGTGAGTCAAAGAGAGAGCTCAGACGGGAACAAAATACCCCCAGCATAAGACAAAAATCAGAGAGCACAAGGGGGTGAGAATAAGGAAAAGGGGGAGGATGAGGGAGGGGAGAGGAGGTTGGGAGGGGCCCTCGGTCTCAATACCCCTCTTCTTCCCGGTAATAGTGGTACTCAGGTGGCTCCACAGTGCTAGGGCTGTCCCCTGGGCCTGCCCCTGGCCCATCTCCAGTGGGACCTTGGGGACAGTATTTGGGATCATAGATCTGTCGCCCCAGCCCGAACACCTGCCCGCTTTGGTTGGCACCCTGGGTATAACCCATCTGCAGGGACATGGAGGTGTTGTCGCACTTGTCTGTGCCCATCTTGGTATCGTAGATGTGCCGCCTGGTGCCTGGGGCTGTCATGCCAACCTGGAAGGAGGATGGGGAAAGGAATTCAGGCTCCGCAGTCCTGGGACTCCCCCAGGTCCTTGTCCATCTGGACCCTCTCCAGCCTGGCCCCCAGCACACTCCATCTTCCGGGAGCAATGGGTCAACCCCGGTCCTCACTCCATCCCTGATTCGCTGAAGTTCTCATGATCCAGCTCCTTTCTACCTTTCCAGGCTCTCCTTCACATTCTAGCTATCTCTAGTGATCCTGACCTCCCTGCAGTTCTTCCAGCCAGACATGCCCTCTCCTCTCTCTGTGCATTTGAACAGGCTGTTTCCCATGCCTGCTGTGCTTTCTCTCCTCGCCCTTCTGGCTCTTCCAAGACTCTCCTCAACTCTCACCTTCTGCAGGAAGACTTTCTCTGACCCATTTTTCTGGCCCCCAAGTCTTCACCCCACCCCCACTAGTGCCTTTCCCACTGAGAATGCCTTCTACCAGATCTGCTTATATCTTGAATGTACAGCGTTATCTACATATCTCCTCCATTAGAACATAAGCTCTCTGAGGGGAGGGACTTTTTTTTTCCTTTCTTTGTATTCCAGTCTCTTAGCACAGTGTAAGCAATTAATAAATGCTTATTGACTTTCTGGTTTATTAATTGAGGTCCCTCCCAAATCTGACCCTATGTACTCCAAGGTTCCCCCACTCCTTCCCCCGATGCAGCTATGATATTCTACATTCACACATTGGAAATTCTGAGTTCTAAGGCCCTTCCGAAGGTGGTGCAGTGGCTAGGGCACCAGACTTGCAGGGTGGAAGACCCCAGTTCCAATCCTGTCTTTGACACTGGCTGTGTGACCCTGGGCAAGTCACTGAACCTTCTTATTTTCCCCATCTGTAAGATTAGTGTAATGCTAGCACCAAACTCATAGATTGTTGTGAGGATCGAATGAGAGGATATATGTCAGGTGCTTAAAGCACAAATAAATACGAGCTATTATTATTCCTCCTGCAATGCTCTATGTTTTATGGACTCTTCTAGTTTTAAAATATGTTCTAAGACCTATTCCAATTCTGATATTCTATATTTTGTGTTCTAAGTGCCCCCCCAGCTCTGACATTCCTTCGTTCTAAGGGCCCCCCCAGCCCTGACATTTCTTCGTTCTAAGGGCCCTCCCAGCTCTGACATTCCTTTGTTCTAAGGGCCCTCCCAGCTCTGACATTCCTTTGTTCTAAGGGCCCTCCCAGCTCTGACATTCCTTTGTTCTAAGGGCCCTCCCAGCTCTGACATTCCTTTGTTCTAAGGGCCCTCCCAGCTCTGACATTCCTTTGTTCTAAGGGCCCTCCCAGCTCTGACATTCCTTTGTTCTAAGGGCCCTCCCAGCTCTGACATTCCTTTGTTCTAAGGGCCCTTCCAGCCCTGACATTGTCTGTTCCAAGGACCTTCCCAGCTCTGACATTCTAGGGCTCAATAATAAGTTGACATGAATATAGCACTTTATGAGTTATTGCTTTCATCATCTCATTGGCATTTCAGGGCAATGGCCTGTGAGGTAGGCAGTAGTGCAAGTTATTATCATACCCATTTTCCAGATGTGGAAACTAAGGCCCAGATGAGACAGTGACAGAGGCAGGGCTCACCCCCAGACCTGGCAGCCCTGAATTTGGATCAGCCGCTCCTAAGTTCTGACTGAGTGAGCCCCTGGATGCTTTGCTCAGTTACTTGGTAACTGACAGGTTTGAGCCCACCTGTTGGGTGTAGAGTGATCCCTACCCCCCACTTCAGGAAACAAGAGCTGGAGGGAGTGGCTGGCTGGCGTCAAAGAACCAGCTCTAACCAGCCCAGCAGGCTTAGAGAACTCGGCTTTATTTCCACCCTAACCTTCATCCCTTCTTAAAGGGATAGGAACCAGTTTGGAAGCTTAGGGCTCCAGCCCCGGCTCCCCTGCCATGAATAGGACCCAAAGCCAGAAAGCTCCAATAGAGGGGAAGAATTCTTGTGGTTACAGAATGTCAGAGCTGGAAGACACCTTAGAGACTTTCTAGTCTAACCCCTTCATTGCACAGAGAAGAAAACTGAGGCACAGAGAGGGGAAGGGGCTTTATGAAAGCCCCGTAGCAAGTAAATAAAAAGCACAACCAGGTCCTCTGACTTTACATCCAACTCTTTTGCCGACCTCATGGTCATCTTCTCCAAGACCAGCTGCTGCCTTCACTTTACAACCCAAGGTTACACAGCGAGTCCAAATCACAGTGAAGACTCCAAATTCAGGGCTCTTTGCATGCCGGTGTTCCTTCTAAAGTCCAGAGTGGAGACCTCTGAGCTTATCCTGGAACCTGGGTCTTCCAGCTACCACTGCCCTAACCATTGTACTGCCCTACTTGTGGTGCTCCTCTCTCCCATTTCAGAGCCCTAGAAGTTCCCACTCACCTGACTGGCACACTTGTTGGTCCCCATCTGCAGGCTGATTGTTGAGTGGTCCATAGGGGCCAGAATTTGG